TGTTACGGTAGATTTAACGTCTGATTGTAACCGATTCTTCTTTTACTATCTTAAAACGAACCGTTTAAAACGAGATATTCGACCGACTTTAGAAAAAAAAAAACAAAACAAAAAAAAAATAAATAAAATATATATAAATCGTTTATAGCTTTGATCAAGTTATGCATTTTTCCATTACTGCATATTTCGATATACGATTTATGAGATTTATTGGAAAAATACTGGGGATCCATATATCAATATTTTTAAGCCAATCAAGTCGGTTTTGATCGTTTGATCTGTGCAAAGATGAAACGAACGGGTTTGAGATTCGTGCGATTCGCGCGATTCGTTATCGCGGAGCTTACGGTATCGAGTCTCGTTACGCTTCGAATGCGTGCTCGTTCCCCAAAAATCCTTCGATCTGAGTATTACATTTCTAGATTTATTTTTTTCTTTTTCTTAATTTTTTTTTCTTTTTCATTCTCTCTCTTCCTTTTTTCTGTTTTTTCTTTACATAAGAGAAATATTTTTATGTAGATACGTAATCATCGAAGAGCGTCGTTTATTATAGAAACTCGTGAAATATTTTCAATCGAAAGGATTATTATTAAAAAATCATTAGTTCAATCGTTCGAGGTATAATTTTATTTATTTATGGAAACGTAATTATATCGTTTATGTAACGATAAGAGAGATTATTTACAATTCTTCGTTTTGTTTTGTTTTGTTTTTTTTTTCTTTTTCTTTTTATACTCTAAATCGAAGGATACGATAGACTTTATTTAATTGTCATGAAGGGAACTTTATGTAGTTACGTTCGGATATTTTTTTCAAAACTTTACTTCCGATTAAAAATATCATTCAGGGAAATTTGCATAATCGATTTCATTTCATTTCATTTCGAAACTGTGCGTACACGGAAGAAAACAGTGTATCGAGTGAGAATGAGCGAATAAAGAAGGATGCTCGTACTACAGTATTACTATTACCTACTATTATATTACTACTAATACTACTACTACTACTACTACTACTACTACCACTATCACTACGATATCGCGTTGCTAGATCATATTGGCAATAGTTTAATCAGACTGGAACGAAATTATGGTAACGAAGTCGCGCTTCTACGAGCAACTACCGTGCATATTATGTGGAAGTGTAAAAAAAAAAAAGAAAAGAAAAAAAAAAGAAAAAGAAATAGAAAAAAAAAAAAACACGAAAAGGCATTCGTCCTCCATACGTAATAGTTTAGCTTCATGCCGCGAAGAAAGGAATATTATTTCTTTTAATGGAGAAACGAATATTACCTTCTAAGTAATAACTCGTTTGCTACTCGTAGATTTGCTACTCTTCTTCGTTATTGTTTTCAACATGTGTTTATTTTTTCTTTTCCTTTTTTTTTTTTTTCTGCAAAACTTTCGACCATAATTAGTCGAATAATTTCTTTACAAAGTTATTCATAATACAATGTATCTACATATAGATATATGTCAAATGATATGGCACATTAAGATTAGCGAATTATTTCCGTTCTACTTTCGACGTTGAAAATATTTATTATCCAAAAAAAAAAAAAAAAAAAAAAAAAGAAAAGAAAAAGAAAAAAAAAGAGAGAACAGTTTCCTTCACAGACATCGTTGATTTCGTGCTCCTACGATGATCGTATTAGAATATTAATCGAACAGCTGGAAAAATTTTTTTGCGAGGGAAGAAAAAAAAAAGAAAAGAAAAAGAAAAAAAGAAATCGATCGAAAACAAGAAATCCTTTTTCTAATAATAATAATTAAATAATTATCGTTGGATCGTTTGGAATTTTGAATGTGGCGGAAAAACATTTACTTTTTTTGAACGAATAAAAAAAGAAAAAAGAAAAAAGAACTGATCGAGTTTCGTGTTTTATTGACAATTTATTTTGACTAGTGTTATCGTCTTTTTTTTTTTTAAATATTTATAACGAATCGATTCGTTTTTAATTAAAAAAAAAAAAAATAAAATAAAAAAAAAAAAAAAAAAACGTGATTGAGTAGTACGTTTTAAAATTGATCATTTGGACAAGTTTCGATATACTTGATTTCTCCGAAAATGAAAGTTTCGAAAGGAAAGAGAATCATAATGGTAACTTCATTTAACAAATTCGAACGTTAAGTAAATTCGATCGAAACGGGTAATGCAAATGACACGCATTCGTTCGGCCCAACCCTGATCGATCGCGCGAGACTTTTACGCTCCTTTTCCTGTTCCCAGCGGATTTGAAAGGGCACACGGGCAAGTCACTTCAAAAGAGCAATTTACATTCGAATCTACGCGTAATTTATAATCTAGATGTTATGAAATAAAGATCTTTGTTTGAATGATTTTTCAAAAGAATCATAAGGTATTCTTTATTTCTTTTTTTCTTTTTGACAAATTAATCCGTTCAAAAAATTTTCTATTTTTCTTATATAAATATATGCCTATATTTGTTTATATAAATATATACCTATATTTGTTTATATTGTTTCGATCAAATAATATGTAATTATAATCAAATTTTGTTTATGATTTTTTATTTAATGAACTACAAATGTGTTATATATAATATATATATATATTTTTTTGTATTTTTTTTATTTTTTGTATTTTTTTTTTTCTTTTTATTTTATACACATTATTTCACCAAACATATATATTTATGTTTATATATATATATATATATATTTTTTTTTCTTTCTTCTATTTTATCGTTCCTCAATTCGATATATCTTATCAACTTATTACTTGTTAAATCGTTACTAAAAATTTGCTATTTTGCTTGAATGAATTTGAGATATATATATATATTTTTTTTTCTTTTTTGTAATAAATTTTCAACGAACAAACGTAGATGCGTATATTAACGTATATACATTATATTTAATGTACGTTGAAAGAGAATAACTTAGTCCGAGAAATTATTTGTCCGGTAAAGAATTTTCAGATTCACTCGAGTCGACTACAAGAAAGATTTATTACGATTTGTAGAGAGAAACGTCCTGTCATTCGGGAAAACGGTCTCTCAAAGCGTACCGTTCGTCGTTCGCCATCGATGAAACGACGATATATTTTGACTATTAAATGCGAATGAAATTGCACGAAGAAAAAAGAAAAAAAAAAAAGAAAGACGAAGAAGTTCGATGACGCGTACTTCGCGATAACATGCTCAAGTGGGTACACTATTCACCGTTACCGAAAAATCATACAACCGTGACGTCGCCGTTGAAGAAGGACGAAAAGGATAGATCTACGAATGAACGGGAAAATGAAAAGGTTTATTCAAGTCTATTATCACGTTCGACGAAATCACAAACGACGGAAGAAAATGAAATATTGGAATGCACTGTGAAGTATTTGGGGGTAAGAAATTAATCAAAAAAAAAAAAAAAAAATAAAAAAATAAAAAAATAAAAAAAAAAAAAAAAAAAAATAAATGACATTTTAGCTGCTTTTGTTCTTTTTGAATTGTTTCTAAATGCAAAGAGATACAATAACGAAATGTATTTCATTACTGACAAATAGACACCGTGTAATTGTCTGTTATATTAATTAATAAGAAAAAGGGAAATATAAAAGGACGCGGTAAAGAAAGTATGATACTTTTTTTTTATTATTATCATATAATTGTCATAAATATGACGAGATATAGTATATATAATTATTTTAAATATTATGAGAGAAAATGAAATATTGAAGAACAATGTGAGATTAGATCTGTGGGATATAATCTGTGGGATATAAAATATTGTTATTAAAAAGAGATAAGAACGGCTTGACGAAAAGAAACAATATTGATACTTTTATTTATTTCTGGTTTTTTTTTTTTTTTTTTTTTTTTTTTTCTTATTATTTTACGAATCACCACGGATTGTTATTGAGATACTAAGTGAGTGACGAGCGACGATAAATAAATGTGATTGATTTTAATAATAAATCGTATAATTTTTTTAGGATAAAAGATAAACAAAATATAAAAAAAAAAGAAAAGAAGAAAAAATAGATTAGAATAAATAAAATTAACGATAAAACGTCAACTCGGAAAACGAGCTCCCGATCGTGTCGTATAACGGCATAATCGAATAAATGGCGGCAAATTGTAGTCGAGACACAATGACACGATGTGGCAATTCATAGAAAACAATCTAATCAGAGAAGCTTGGTGCACGTATAAAACTGGGCGTAAGCCAAACGTCACGTTACTGCACATCCTCTTGCATCATACTTGAATTCCAATATATACATAAAGCTTCTTCTTTCTAAGCAAAATGCGTTTGAAAGAGCGTACGTACGACGTTTTATAAAACGAACGGACCTTACAACGAAACTTCGTTTAGTTCGTCTGATTGAATTATTTTTTTTTTTTTTTTTTTTTTTTTATTGTTAACTTACTTAATTTTATTCATCAATTTTTTTTCTTACTATCGAGGTATCTTAAAAATGACAATTTTATGCAAAATTATTCCACGTTACTGCGAAAGAAAATGTATAATCACACTTGGCACGATTTATATTAGGTGTACCAGAAAGTACTCTGGTTTCTGTGCATGTCGATATTTGATTGTAATTAAAAATAAAAACTTGTTAAAAATTTATTCGTTTGAATTTAATTTAAGAAAGCGACATTACTTTCTATTACCACCTAATATTTCGTATAAACGTTTCGATCTTTCATCTGTTTTCTTTTTTCTTGTTTTTTTTTGTTTCTTTTTTTTTTTTTTTTTTTTTTTTTTAGATATTTTTAGGAAACATTCATTATATTATCTATTAAATAAATATTTATGTTGGAAATAATAAATGTTGAAGTTATCTTATTAAGGCTATCATTTTCGGAACTTTTTATGGAATTTAATGAAAAACTAAATAGTTGCACATATTTTACATTGTGCGTTAAACATTAAAAAAAAATATATATATATATACACATACATATGTTATAATTTTATAATTATATGCACATTTTTTGTATAAAATATTTTTAATTTTATTCATTGTCAATTTTGCAGGGGTCTGATCCGAGGGTCGCGACTTGTAGAGGAAAGTTGCAGAATAAACGTAGCAAATTGAATCAGGAGATAAACAAGGAGCTTCGATTGCGCGCAGGCGCAGAAAATCTTTTCAGGTTGGTCAATGATATCGAAGAAATTAATCGATTCAAATCTTTATGGGTTATAATTTGTATGATTAAATTTAAAGAGTACGATTTTTTAAAACCAATACGTTTTATAGAGCTACGACGAACAGAAAACTCAAGGAGACCGTAGCTTTGGAATTGAGCTTCGTTAATTCGAACTTGCAGCTGTTGAAAGAACAGTTGGCGGAACTGAATAGCTCGGTGGAACTCTATCAGAATGTCGACGGGTTAGTTTTTCCATCTAATTCCAATATCTTTTTCAAATTCTCTTTTTAACTCATTTAAGAAATTTTTAATTCCTTTTTATACGTTTGTGATATCGTTCGTATACGCTAAAGCATTATTTTCTTTTTCTCTTTTTTTTATTTTTTCATTTTTTTTTTTTTTTTACAGAGAGGATCCTGTAATGCCAATGATACCTTTGGGTTTAAAGGAAACCAAGGATATAGATTTTCGTGATCCATTCAAAGTGAGTATTTAACTTAAGGATTAATTTAACGAAACAATTAATATAATTATTAATCATCGTAGAATTTCTTCATTATTCGAGCGGAGGGACCTCAGGATTATCGATAAAATCATCGGGCATGGCTTTCTCCTTGATTTGATCAACCGTTAACTTTCTATCAACTTTCTTTCTTGAATTTTCAAATATCTTAGAAAAATCAAGTTCTGAGTCAATTCTTGATGGCCCAATCTCAAGAAATTCTCTCGTAGACGTGAACATTTGATTTTTTATGCTGATCACAGCATTATCCTTTCTCGTAGGATTTTCATTTTTCGTATTCCTTGAGGTAATCGAGGTTCCATGTAACATCATTGATGGATGTAAACGAGGCATCGTTATGACCAAACTACCGGTTGTTACGTTCCGTTTCGCGCTGCTCTTATCGACGAGAATCTCGCAGGGTAGAGTTAGTTGCAAAATTTTACCCTTTATCGTCACTCTCACGTACGTTGGTTGAATGTCGACGTCTATGTAAGACGTGTCGAGGTACCTGTAATTTTATTCAACAGAGATTTTCTTGTAACATTTATTTTCTATAGATTCTTTTTTTTTTCTTTTTTTTTCTTTTTTTTTTCAAATACAATCGCAGAAAGTTTTTCTTACGTTTTCAATATAGAAATATAAAGAAACGAGTGAAAGTGATGATTATTTTACTAACTTTTCTAAATATATATATATATTAAATTTTTTGAATTTTTATATTTCATATAATATTATAAATGTATGCATGTCCTCTAAACAGTTTTGACTTAAAATTTATAGAAAAAAAAGACCAAAAAAAAATGAAGTTAAGTGGATCCATAAATAATTTTGTTTCAATTTCAAACCGAAGAAAATTTTCAAAGTTTTAAAATTTGACAAACAATCGATACGTACGACGAAAAGAATTTAATCTTTTTTTTTTTTTTTTTCGTAATCGACCATTTGGTATGAACTTATATCTTGTAATATATATTCATGACCATTGGAAAAAAGTTTCTTTGATAATACATTTTTACCTGTAAACACCAACGTCCAAGATCACGTTATCCTGATCGTCTTCGTCATTCAATGTAAACGGAACCTTCGGATGATTCATGTTGTAAGGTTTACCACTTGGACTGAACAATTTTGGCACGTATTTTTGTTTTTTTCTTTCATCCGAAATCCCATGTTTCTTCTCTTCTGCTTTTAACGTATGTTCAGCGATCGCAATGCGATCTTCCGGCGTGTGATAACTCTTTTGTTTCCAAAATCTTTCATTTTCCGCGTCCTCGTCTTCCTTCGATAATAGATTTGACATTTTGTCAAGAAAAATAAAAAGAAATAAAAAAAAAAAAAAAAAAAGAACGAATAAATAAATACGACAAAACTTATACTTACTTCTATTATCTCCGTGATCTTTAATTCTTCTTTCTCGCGATATCGTTTTATCTGAGCCTCTCTTATCTTTTTATAATTATCATAACCTCTGATAACGTCTCCCTTTGCTTGTGCGTATACTTGCAAAGACTTTATTCGTTCGGATCTTAAAATTTTAATCATATCGAGTTCTTTAAGCTGTGGCAATGTTGAAATCACATATTCCCTGTATCCCTCGTAATCCGTACAAGGATTTCCCGTCAGTATCAATTGTTCCAAATTCTCGTTATATCTGGGACACCGTAAAGATTTCGTCTTTTTTCAATATTCCTAAATTATTCCAATCGATTTTAACCAATTATAACGTTCTCATTATTATTCAATATCGTCGTTCTTATTTCAAATATATTAAAATATAATTTACCTTAAAGTTTTGACGCTTCTCAAATCTCCGATAAAATTTATTGTAAGATCCAGTTTCTTCAAACTTTCGAGACCCTGTAAATTCTCGATAACTTCGATATTGTTCAATGCAAGATTCAAATATTCCAATTTCTTCAACATATTGAGATTTTCAATCTTTGGTATGATGTTGTATTGAAGAAGTAAGATCTTTAAGTTTCTACAGAGTTTGTCTAAAAGTTCGATCTTATCTATGTTCTCCTGATGCAACGATATTTCTTCCAAAGTTGATATCTCACCCTCGTTATGCTCTGAACGTTTACGTATCAAATCAACAGTGATTCGTACCATTTTTTTTTCTTTTCCCTTAGAAAATCTCTATTTTTTCTTTTTTTCTGATAGTTCTCTAAAAGAATTTACAATTTCGATAAACGTTGATGAAACACTACTGTTGTCGCACTTTCTTTCGGTTGCCACGTAAATATCGATTTAATAAACCATTCGTATAACTGATTGGCTAAGTATATTCCTTGAAAGTATTTCAAATTACTCAATTAGATTTCGTCTCTCTTGAAAATTTATTCGTTCATGTTGAACCGAGGATAAAAAAAAAAAAAGGAAGATTTTTGTTCGTCAAAAATAATTGTCTATAAAAAAAAGAAAAAAAAAAAAGATAAAAATAAAAATAAAAAAAATAAATGAATGGATTCGTTAATGATATGAATATATTCATGTTTTAGGATTTTATCCTAGAGCACTATAGCGAAGATGGGGAGAATTATGAAGAAGCTATTGCCGAACTTATGGAGACAAGACAGGTAAGAAAAAAATTCTGTTTGAATCTATCACACGTGCTATATAAGAAAAAAAATATATATATGTATATATAATGTCTATATATAGGATGTATCGTATAGTATAGAAAATTTACTTAACAGGTAGATTAAGAATATAAAAAAAAAAAAAAAAGGAAAAAGAAAAAAGAATGATGAAAGAAGTCTATGCAAATTCTCTACTGGTTATATTCATTTGTTCTTTTTATCATCAAATATGTACGATAATAACTTCCTTATCTCTAAAGAAAATTCTCAATCTGATTACGTTGCAGTAATAATCGTTATAATTTAGTTAATTATAATTATATACTTTAATAACCCGACGATCTTCGATGATTATATATTTCCTTGATAATATAGTAATAATTACAATTTTTATAGATATAATTGCAATATAATTATGATGCAGTTATAAAAACATTTATATATGTATATATAGATACGGTATATACGGTTTTATACGTATTATTTCTTTAAGTATTAAACATGCAAAGAAAAACAAAAAAAAAACAAAAAAAAAAAAAAAAAAAAGAAAAAAAAGAAAAAGAAAATTGTTTTGGACGAATATAATGTCAAGAGACGATACGTCGTATGTGTTAATTATTTGACTTTGCGATGACCTTGGATAGTATTGTGAAAGTCACATTTACATTTTTAAATGGGATTCTATATGTCCTTGTAACTGATATTGAAACTCGAACCTACACATGTATTTTGCATAAGCGATTGTTGAATTATTAAGCTTCAAATTTGGCGAGTAGCTGGCATTAAAAAATCTTTTTATAATACTTAAAAAAATAATTGCGTGCATAAATATGCATATAAATCTGTATATATTTATGCAATAGTTGTGAAATATTTTTTCCTTTTAAAAAAGGTAACAAACATCGTGAAAATTTATTGAACTTCTTCAATACTTCAAACAATTATATTATTTTAATAATATTAGTTTAAATGTAACAATTATTAGAATGAAAATGATTATAAATTAAAAACATATGTAATGGAATACGTGTTTCTTTTTTTTTACTTCAACTCTTTAACTCTATATTATTTTAATTTTATATTATCTCTTTTTTTTTTTTTTCTTTTCTTTTCTTTTCTTTTTAAGGCAACAAGAACACCGACAAGAGACGCAGCAGGTATAGCCCTGCTTTTGCGTTATTATAATCAGCTTTATTTCATCGAAAGACGCTTTTTTCCACCTGACAGAAGTCTTGGAATACATTTTGAGTGGTTCGATTCTTTGACTGGCGTACCAAGTCGTCAACGCACTGTTGCATTTGAAAAGGCATCGATTTTGTTCAATGCTGGTGCACTTTACACACAGTTGGCCGCTAAACAAGACAGACACTCTACTCGTGGCTTAGATCAAGCAGTCGATGCTTTTCTTAGAGCCGCTGGAACATTTCGATATATTCATGAAAATTTTACCAATGCACCGAGCATGGATCTTGGACCTGACATGCTTGAAATGCTCGTCCAATTAATGCTGGTATATTTATTATACGATCTTATAGCATGCATAATCTTATTGCATACCCGACGTGCCTAGTAAAATTTCTTTAACTATGATAAAAAATTGATCGAAGTAAATTTAATAGAATTTTATAGATAATTCATATATCATTAGGCGAATAGTATAGTTCAAAATTTCAAACCGATCATTTGAAAATTTTCCGAATGCCGAATATTTTATTACAAATGCATTTATTTTCGAAATTGATTAATCGATTTTATAGATATATTACATTCGAATTATTTGTGAAATGTAAAGGACATCTTCTTTAAAATCTCGAAATATAAATTGGAATTAATTTATTGTAAAAATTATTCTAGTTGAAAATTAACGATATCGTTGAATCGATTTCATTGAAATTTTACGATATACTTTTCTAAAATACGAAGATATTTTGCTGATCGTCAGTATTCATGATATATAAATATATATATTTATTTATTTATTTATTTATTCGAATCTTTTATTTCAGGCACAAGCGAGAGAATGTCTGTTCGAAAAGTTGGAACTACAATCGAGAGAAGGAAGAACTATCGACATTTCCTTGGACTTAGCTCAAGAAGCTGCACAAGTAAATTGTTTTTTGTTTCTTTTTTTTTCCCACGATAATTTTAATAAATCTATAAGTAATCAATAATTTATTTATCATCCTATTGAATCGCATTAAAGGTTGCCGCTGTTTATAACGACGTTCACGCCCTGATATCTCGGGAACCAGTTCGTGATTATGTCCCAGAAACTTGGATCTCTTTGATATTGGTTAAACGCGAGCATCATTTAGCACTCGCTCACAAACATTTAGCTGCTGGTTTGCTTGATAGACCGATCGCTGAATTTCGAGTAGAAACGAAACTAACATTGGAACATATTCAAAAGAGCGATGGGAAAACGCAATTGGAAGTGACCGTGCCTAGAGATGACAACGAAAGAAAACTTTTAGGTATATCGATTATGGTTTATTACTTTTTTTTTTTTTTTCTAAGAAAAATCGTCCTATTAATATTTAATTGTTTAAAATCTTTCTACCAATTAGTAATATTATCAAATATTAATAATATTATGAATAAATATTATTAAATGCTCGTTAAGTTGACAATTTTTTTTTTTATTTTTTTCTCCCATAAATTTTTATATCTTTATTATTTAGAGAATTTTGCGATATTTGTTATTCTCGATCAGTGTTTTGATTTGATTATCATCAATAATATCAATTTTGCATTTTTTTTTATAATAAAACAAACATAAAATTTTGAAAATACGGTTTATTGTCTTCGATAAAAATTCTTAACGAGATACGAAATTTAAATGGTTCACTAAATTAAAAGAAAAAAAATGTATGTATATATATATATATATATATATATATAAAATTTATAAAGACTTAATCATATAGTTCGTTTCAATATATGAACAAAACTAATACATTTTATAAATATAAATAAATTTAATATTAATTAATTAACTAATACGTTATAAATGTAATGATACGTTTTGATAAGTATACGATATTAAATTTTGTTTCTTTTTTTTTTCTCCCTTTAATAACTTATTTTTTTTTTTTTTATTTTTTACGAACACAGGAAAAGCACATTTAAGGGAAGCTCTGGTTTTGCACGAGGAAAGCCAACGGCTACAAAGAATGTGCAGAGAATTGAAAGGCAAACAGGCGCTGGCGAAGGTCTTGAAAAAAGGACACGAAGCCACGCTCGATATGTATAATAAAATTGGCGACGAAGATGATTTTCGGGAATTATTAGATCCCCCGGATATCATCGGTAAGTATAAAATATATCATTTTTCTTTCTTTCTTTTTTTTTTTTTTTTTTTTTACATAAAAATAATATCACAATATGTAAATAATAATACCATTAATATTTAATTAATATATAGCGTCTACTAAATTTCAATTGAGCATCACACATCCGGATTTTGGCCAACACGGAGTTGAAGATCTATTTAGATCATTGGGACCAGTAGCTATATTTTCTGCAAAAAGGCATTGGACCGCACCGAGAAATGTTCAACTTCAAAGAGGACCAGACGGTGAAGGTTTCGGATTTAGCGTGCGCGGTGATTCGCCAGTAATTATAGCTGCCGTTGATCACAATTCTTTAGCTGAAGTGAGTGATGATTTAATTTTCTATAAAAAAAAAAAAAAAAAGATATTTTTTATTTTCAAAGCTCTCATCATATGTAAATATACATTTGTCTTACAACAGATGGCTGGTATGAAGGAAAGTGACTTTATAGTCGGTATCGGTGACAAAGATGTGAAATGGGCTTCTCATGAACAAGCCGTAAGATTGATAAAACAATGTGGTGACTTCATTAATCTAAAATTGGTCACACCTATGGATAGAAATTACATGAAGGTAATACAATTAATTTATTAATTATAAAAGATTAATTTAATTCTAGTTGTGCCTGTTGAGTTTAGAATATCATAGATCAACTTTGAATTCGATTAAAATAATTTGCACATTGGATTATTCATGAACATTTTTTTTTTTTATAAGGAAAAAGATTGGAAATACGTTTACATACATATTGATTATTATTTCCGAGGCTTCAAAAAATATATAATATTTCTTTTGGAATTAAAATTATACATTCAGTATAAATGACAGTCGTTCAAAGTTGATTATAGAGTATCCCACGAGTGCACAATTTGAAATTATTTTGAGATGTTCACAACTATGATTAATTTCGATCGATATATTATTAAATCGATGCCATAATTGTGATTATGATTATTCGTCAATCGTGATTAATATATTCGTAGTAACGTAATCATTTCAGAAACCAGGAAAGCCAAGTCAGCATGACAAAGGTAGCGTTTCAGCTAGTAGTTCATCGGGAGTGTCTTCTGGTCAACCAAGTCCAGCTGGTTCGGTTACAACCGCTCACGTCACAAGGAGATTACCATGGAATCCTTTTAAGAAGACGGTTAATCAACGAGACAGCAGGGATCTTACATTTGACAATGTCATCTTGAGATGATCGTTGAGAAATCAAAAATTATCTTTAAGGGCACGTAGAGCCAACCAGCTTTTAGTTGCGTGCCTCGCATCCGGTAGTAAGATGGTACGTACCATTGTGTGTATTTATGTATGACATAAAGAGAATAAATAATCGGGTATACGTAGATTAGATCGGATCGTGTCTTTATGAAAATGTATATATTTATATATATATATACATATATATATATATATATATATATATATACATGTACACTTGTGTGTGTGTGTGTTTGTATGTATATATACATATGCAATACATCTGTATAATCCGGTCTTTACATCACGAACATTTGCAAATGTGTTTTCAATATAAAAACTCGATGGATTTGTAGATATTATAATTATCGTTTAGAATAAAATATAAGGGCTTACGCGTTAAGAAAATGTAAACGTTATACGATCATTGTCGTCGAATTGTAAAATGTGTGCAGTTTATTATCGATCGTATGAATATCGTTTCAAATGTGTAACAATAAATAGGTATATATAGATTCGTAATTATAATCTCATGTATAGTTATGTGTTATATATACATATATATATATATATATATATATATATATATACACTATGCCAATGTTTGTCATTTTACGCGATCGTAGATTTAATATATACCTATACATTACGTTTGCATTCGTTTATTGATTACAATTAATTAATTCTTTCAAAACAGTATCAGCGATAATGTAAATAGAGAAAGAGAGTGAGAGAGAGAGAGAGAGAGAGAAAGAGGAAAAAAGAGAGAATGAGAGAGTTATTTCACGACTCAACATATTCCCATAAATATTCTATATATTGGAAGTTTCCTTTGTTCTAATAGAGACACTCATTATGAGCATCAAAATTGTATCATAAATATAATATTTGAGTAATCATTGGCTCACAAAATCTCTTTTTTGTAAATTTTCTATCTGTGCTTACGTAAAATACTCTGTAAAATATAAATCGAATAAAAATATCTTCGATTAATAAATATGTATATTCATGTTTATTTATTTCTATTTTTTTTTCTTTAAATATCCTGAATAAATTATAAGTTTATAAATTATTAATTACTATTAATTATATGATCACAATGAAACGATTTATTTATTGTCCGTAAGTTGATTTATTTATTTGCATAAAAAAAGAAAAAGAAAGAATATAAAAAAGAAAAGAAAAGAGAAGCAGGATGAGGATAAAAATTTATAAAGAGTAAAAGGATTTCGTTCTTTATGTGTATGTATACATATATATATGAGCCGTTTATTTTGAAAGTGGCCTATCTTCATTTATCTTCAAATCGAGACATTTAAGGATTTGCGTTTCAATGAATTTAAAAATATACGTATAGGATACTAATGAGTTATACTGCTTAAGTGTACATAAGGGTGTTAAATTGATAGTTCCTATTAAAATAGTGGCAACTATTAAGTGAATAATATGCGTTTTCTTATCAAGAATGGAGTTAGGCCACTTTCAAAATTAACGATCAGATTCATTATAAAATTTGAAGGTGCCCAAGTCTATTCAACATAATTTAAGATGCTTCAAATTGAAAAAAACAATACTCAATTTATTTTACATATCTTTAAAACACTTCGAAAACATAATTTATGCGATTCAAAACATTTTTTAACTACATAACGTACAAAATTACGAACATAAATTTATTACAAAACAATTTACTATTCATCTAGATTTTGTGTGTGTGAAAGGAATTTGAAGAAATCATGATGTTCCGGTGGTATATATCGTAATAGGTCAATTATGTCCTTGAATTTTACTATTGTAATTTTCTGATATTTTTATACAGTGCACCGGGGGCGGGGTTAAACCAGTAGTGGGCGGGGCTAACCTAACTGGGGGTGGAGCTAACATAGTAAGGGCGGGGCCAAGTACTCCAGAGGCGGAGCTAAATCAGTAGTGGGCGGGGCTAACCTAACTGGGGGCGGGGCTAACATAACTGGGGGACGGAGCTAACCTAACTGGGGGCGGAGCTAACATAGTAAGGGGCGGGGCCAAGTATTCCAAGAGGCGGGGCTAAACCAGTAATGGGCGGGGCTAACCTAACTGGGGGCGGAGCTAACATAGTAAGGGACGGGGCCAAGTACTCCTAGAGGCGGAGCTAAACCAGTAGTGGGCGGGGCTAACCTAACTGGGGGTGGAGCTAACATAGTAAGAGGCGGGGCCAAGTACTCCTAGAGGCGGAGCGAAACGAGTAGTGGGCGGGGCTAACCTAACTGGGGGGCGGAGCTAACATAGTAAGGGGCGGGGCCAAGTATTCCAAGAGGCGGGGCTTAACCAGTAATGGGCGGGGCTAACCTAGCTGAGGTCGGGGCTAACCTAGTAAGAGGCGGGGCCAAGTACTCCTAGAGGCGGAGCGAAACGAGTAGTGGGCGGGGCTAACCTAGCTGGGGTCGGGGCTAACTTAGTAAGAGGCGGGGCCAAGTACTCCTAGAGGCGGAGCTAAACCAGTAGTGGGCGGGGCTAACCTAGCTGGGGGCGGGGCTACCCTAGCTGTGGATGGGGCCAAGTATCCCAGGGACGAGGCTAAACTGGTTGGAGACTGGCATATATGTATCTGTATCTATTTGTGTGTATTCATAGAGAGAAAGTCGATAGTGAAGAACATGATTTCGTGGAAGAAACCTCTTATCTGAAACTATATGTGTTTAATGTAATTTTTACGAAATTGCCAAAAATGAATCTTTAGATAGTGGATGTAATTTCAACGTTATGCGGAATTCATTTAGTGTTAATTATGAAAGTGGTGTAAGTCAATTAGAGCTTTAAAAACAACATTTTCGTATGAAATTCATACAAAATTTCATATTCATAATAAATTTCCATTAATCAAGACTAAGAAAATTATAAATTAAAATATCGTATAATATAAAAATATTTTTTAATATTCAAACGCAATTCATTAAATATCTCGAAACAAGAAATATATTACCATATATATGAAATGTTAGACCACTTTCATAATCAAGGACAACTATGTTTCTGTGTAATCATTAAGTGCAAATTGCGATAATGATGTTTTCAATAAGAATTCATTGTTAACGATAATGGCAATTCATTCTCGTCGACGTTATTGTTATTATAAAAAAAAAATAAGAAAAAAAGGGGAAAATGAAGAATTATATATACATATATATATATATATGTATGCATGTAGATATGTGTAAAAGAAACTTACAGGAGAAATTTTATCTCAACTGTAACACGAAGAAATTCGACACGTCCTTCGCTCATTCGAGACCTTACCTTATGGTGAAACGAATGGAACTTTACACACATATAGAGAAAGAGAGGAAAAGAGAGAGAATCTGTGAAAGATATTGAGAGTTGAGGCGACACCGTTGAGGGCAATGTACTTTCGTTTCATCGAACGTCAGAGAAGAAGACTTTTTAGGGTCAGTGGAGAAAGTCCAGCAGCAGCTGTTATTGCACCAGCTTACCACCAACGCTCCAGTTCAGTACACATCGATGCTCTTGGATGCAGTCACGTGCGATGTTCGCCCCTCTCTCTCTCTCTCTCTTGGAGAAAGAAAGAAAGATGTCTTGAAAAAGAAAGAAAAAAAGAAAGAAAGAAAGAAAGAAAGAAGGATAGAAAATATTGAGCGTCTCAGGAGAAAGAAGAGTATGGAGGTATTGTTAGATTTTTAAATATGACATATAAAATTGGCTATGGGAATATTTTTTTCTTTTTTATTATTTATTTACGCACTACTGTTTTCTCGTTCAATCTCATGCATTAGTTCCATTGAAATTTGTGGCAATGTGTATCCTGAAAAATATGTCGATTAATATATTCATATAAATTTTTTTATAAAAAAGATTTTAATATGAAATTTTTTTCATCGATTATTTAATTAATCATTATTTTGAAAATGATATTATATCGATTTTAATTAATCCATAAGAATTTCAATTAATATATATATATATATATATATATATATATATATATATATATATATATTGTATATTATAATTGTAATTCGTAAATTACGTATCAAGAGTTTCCTTATTAATGATTGCTATATAAATGATTGCTATATAATTGCTACTTTAAAATGACTTCACGTATTAAAGTGCGTCGTAAGATTGATCAGTTTAACAAGAAAACACGTGAATTATACGTAATACATGTCTTTCAAGGTGATGCGTATCAATTATGAAACTCTCTATAGTATAGGATGCAGATAGAATATAAATAGAGGGATATCAGTCACGCTCTATTTCCGCAATAACTTGAAGCCGTGTCGTTGTAATATTTTCTTTATATTCTTCTATGTATATCTTTTTTTTTTCTTTAACGTCTTTACATCCGGATCATCACTCTCTCTCTCTCTCTCTCTCTCTGTCTGTCTCTTTTTCTTCTCTCTGTCTCTCTTTCTTTTCGTTTTAATTTGATATGTTATCCTATTCTAATAAATTCAAAATTTTTTTAATTATCATATAAATTTTATTCTATTGCATTTTCTTTTTATCATTATTATTATTATTGTTGTTATTTTTAATTTTGTATTTACTAAGATTTATACCCTTTCAGAATTTTGTATAAAATTTTTTATTCATACGGGATAATATATTTAGTAATAAAATATATTATTCTCTCTCTCTCTCTCTCTCTCTCTCTCTCTCTACCTTTTTCTCTTTATTAACGTTCGAAAATTCGAAAAAATCTAATTTTCAAAATTCGCTGAAAATTTTTGAACTCACAATTAACATTTATTGAATGATCCATTCGTAAAAATTTTCTAAACGTCATTCTCCATAAAAAAATCAAGTGGTATTGTACCTTATTCGAATTGCGATACGTCATTGAAAATTTTCAAACATTTCTTACTTTCGTTGTTGCACAGGAAAGAAAGCGGAAGCACGTCTGTATAATATATGAATATATTATTCTTTTATTTATTTTTTTTTTCTCCTTACCTTGGTATAAATCATCTGAACGTCATTCCCGATAAAAATCGAGTGATATTTTATTCATTCGAAGTGCGTCTGCAATAAACATTTCTGCTTTCATTGTTCCATAGGAAAAGAAAGCGTAGCATGTTTATATATAAATATTTTATTCTTTTTATTCATTTTTCTTCTTTTTTTTTCTTCCCAATAATTCGTATTATTAGATTGGCCAATAAGTGATGTTGAAATTAAAAAAAAATTTTTTCTTTTTTATATCTACAACATTGTATTCGATATTTTTCAATGAAAGTTCCGACACGTTTCATCTGTCAACATAATGCGCTATCGCGACCCAAATGCAACTCAGTTATCGTCACATAATTTGAATTTTGAAAAAATTCATAATTTCATAATAATTAAGAATGAGAAAGGGACGCTCGATTGATTTTAAGGAAGAAAATGAATTAATTCGAGATCAAATAAAATCGGGACGTGGAAAGGAGAGAGCCTCGTCGAGGTTGGACTTTCGCTGACCCAAGAAACGATGTCACGCATAATAAATTATATAATTGATTTTTTTTTTTCTTTTTTAAAAATCGATTTTGTTGTGATACACTACGACAAGATAAAAAAAGATCTAAATCTCCTTATTGAAAGAAGAACAAATTTAGAAGAAAAAAAAAAGAAATAAAAGCAAATAACGATTTGGACAATTGTCGTAATTGTATTATTTTTTCTTTTAATTTAAAAAAAAAGAAGAAAGGATAAGAAAGAAAAAAAGAAAAGAAATATTTACAGAAAATATTCATTAAAATGTTATATCAGCTTTTAATATAAATATTTAATATATAAAGCTTTTAAAAAAATTTTGATAAAATGAATGATATGATAAATGAAATGACTTCATCGTACGGTTTCAATGAAATTTAGCGAGATTCACGTATTAAAAGAAATTCATATTAATCGATATTTTGAAAGATTTGCAAAAAATATATTTTTCATTTATCAACATGACTACGTATTAATCGATTAGTATATATCATTCTTTCGCATTAAATTTTTTTCGCGAAATCTCGCAATTCCAATTTTATTTCGTTTGATTTAGGAAAAAAGAAAAAAAAAAAAAAAAAAAAAAAGAAAAAGAACTTTATCAAAGTTACGAAATTACTCGAATATTTTTATAACTCGTTTATATAATAATATTTGAAAAAATAAATGGATATAACTGGAATAATGAATATAAATGGAATTATATAATTTTGAAGGAGAAAATTAATATATTAAAATTTTCAAATGGAAATTTTTAGTATGTTAATACCGTTCGATCTTGAACGCAAACCCAGACCTATGTCGTGACGATCTTCGTCATTCTTAGCTCAGAAAGGAAATCTAGTTCGTCCCCCACCACTTTAACGTGCGCTAGCTAGGACCTTTCACCATACGCCAAGAAAGACCACTTTATGAGTTAAGAGATAGTATAAGAGATAGTAAAGGGAAATTCTTCATTCGATTGCAAAATAATAGGCGAACAATGAGTAAATTATTGTTTTCATATACGTATACCTTTACGTTCCTTTTTTTCAAATTTCGTTTACGTTTATCATTATTTTTCTTTTTTTGAAAGAAAACATGGGGAAAAAAAGGAAAAATAATAATTCCGAATATTCGGATTTAAATATGAATTATCGATAGGTTGTTTTTCTTTTTTACCACTGAAAATATTCCAAGGATTTTCAACTTTTCATTTATCCCTTTATCCATAAATTTCTATTACTATTCAAATTTCGTTATTCAAATTTCGTGATAAAAATGAATAAATGAACATTACGATAACGTTTTCTCTCTCTTATTCTTTCTTTTTCGTGTTAATTATTTTTTAATCCGATGAATTCCATTTTTCTTCTTTTTCGACTATTCGCACACGTCTCGTAAAATATTTAATATCTTTCAAAAAATCTTCTTAATGTAAATTGAAGTACTACAGATTATAGGCCCAGTATATGTAATCAAATCGAACGGAAAAAAATTTTTGTATACTAATAAAACAACGATTAACATAATTACATCTATTAACGTTGAATTGTTTATTTTTCAATTTTGTTTTACTATCTTACTGAAAAAAAAAAAAAAGAAAAGAAAGAAAAAAAATATTCCAATATACATATGTCAATTTTTCAACGCCAAGAATTTATCTAACCCTATAAAGCTTTTTTATTGAACCCCTCTTATACCAGACAAACAAATTTTTCGATCACCTCACTGGCAACAGAATAATTTAACTGTATACATGAATATAAATATAAGTTGGCCAAACAAAATAGTAATCTGATCACGTTTCGTGGTTCACCCAATATATATATATGTATAAGTAGGATATTCATGTGCTCTTGAAAATACATAATATTATAGAAGCGCGAATAATTCGGATGAAAAATTGAAATTGGGTCTTCTGTTTTTCTTGGGCTGTTCTTACGATCTCATTTGAATGGAAGTAGTAAAATCATACGAAAGAAAGGAAATAATAATATTTTTCGATGAATCTCGAGAGGTTCGTTCAGATGGATAAAAAGCGTGTTCGCGAGTTCTCGATTCAAGGAGATAAAAAAAAAAGAAACAAAAAAAAAGGAGAAAAAGAAAGAAGAAAATAAAAAATGGCCCTGATATTCCGAACGAAAGTTCGTTCGTGGAGAAAGCAAAATGAAAGATTACGAGAAGAAAGTGAATCTTTGCGCGTGAGAATGGCTTCGTGATCTTTCGGGGAAAGTAATATGAATGTTTTCGCCAATTTTCGATCATTCCATTATTTCTCTTACTAATAAATTCAACGGGACGATCATTAAATACAATATTTTTCAAAATGTTCTTTCTTCAAGATTTAATCATTGTTTCGTTTAACGAAGCATAATGAATGTTACAAATAAGATCTACATCATAAATCATTTAACGAGCAATTTTCTTTCTCTCTCTTTTCTATTTTTTCTTTTTTTTTTTCTTCGAGTAAACTCAAAATGAAAATAATATACTATATGTAACGTAGAAAATAAATAAGAATAGGTTTTACAAAAATATGACATTCAAGATGTAAGTGATCGATCGTTAATCGAAAATTCATATTTATTCTTTTTTTTTTTCTTAAAGATTTACATTTCAAAGTATGATAATTAAGCGAGCGACATTAATATACATTATTAAACTATCTGATGCATTTTCTTGTTTGAACTGAACATTGATCCATGATTAAAATAATTAAAACACAATTATTTATACTAAAAGCAAGTATTCTGCAGATATTATCCGCAGATAATATGTCTTTAGATATTCAAACGATAAGACATAACATATGTCATAGATCAATACGTAATTAAATGTCAATTTATTCGAAATATATTAACTACGTTATCGTCAATTGAAAAAAGAAGAAAAAAAGGACCAAAGAAAAAAAAAGCAAAAAAAACAAAATAAAGAAATAAACGTTTCGAAATTATAAGGTCAAGCGTGATTGGGAAAGAAAAATAAAAAAGAAAAAAATGTTGTAGAGCTATCAATTATTAATATTTTAGAGCTATTAAAACGTCTGTTACGTTCGAGTGTGATTAGAAAAAAAAAAAAAAAAGAAAAAAGAAAAAATAAAGAATAAAAACAAAAAAAAAGCAGAAGAAAAAGAAGAAAATTATGATGATGATGACGACAATGATGACGATAATGATGACGATGATGATGAAGAAACGAAGAATAGTCGGATATAAAGCATGTAGGTGAAGGTCCTGAGAACGGCGATGAGCAGTGGTAGCGTACGAGTTGAGGATCCCTCCTTAAATTGATCTGCCGACTAAGCAAGCAGGTTATTTCGTTTTAAGTGACTCAACGGCCAACACCTCTCTCTTTCTCTCTATCTCTATCTCTCTCTTTCTCCCTTTTTCTTTCCCTCTCTTTCTCTCTCTCTCTCTCTCTATCTATCTATCTATTTATCTATCTATTTCTATGTCTCGGTTTGAAAGGTCCTTCTATTTTTTTTTTTCTAAATCAGTGTATCCAGTTCGGTGCATTTTAAATTCGATTGATTCATCGATAATATCTCGTGAAATGAAGTTTTAATCGATCATTTAAAAGAAAAAAAAAAAGAAAGAAAGAAAGAAAAAAGAAAAACGAGAGAGAGAGAAAGAGAACCGAAATCATCAAAATAAATACATTCGAAGAAGAGTGAAAAAAAGAAAGTAATTGGAACTGAAAAGAAAAGAAACGTATCGTACGATTGATCTTTTAATGAATTAAATTTATTTATTATTAACGTTTGAATGAACGCGCGTGTTGAATGATAACTACAGTGCTACGAAATACCAGATCAAAAAGAATTCTTCCCGATCTTTTGTGAGAATCTATATCGTCGTCGTTAAATAATATCGAGTGAGTATAATTGAAATAGTTTAAAAATTAACGATCAAGAAACGATCTATCGAGATTTGATATTTTCTATCGAGTATTTTCTTCGCGCGGGAAATCCTTGAAGGAAAGGCTTCGTCGTTACTCGTTGAGTGAACGTGCAATAGAATGCAACAGCACGCACGCTCTTATGCCTATTAAATTTTACGTTCACGTTTTCTAAGCACTCTAATCGCGTTAGAAACATGTCTCGAATTGTCGATGCTATCGAAGAGATATTTAAAAAGGTTTATCCTTAATAGAAAATACAATATTGATTAAGTCGTTTAAATAATTTACATTAAAAAAATTAATTCGAATAAATGATTCGTAGTTGAAAAAAAGAAAAAAAAAAGAAAAAAAAAAAAAAAGAAAAGAAAAGGAGAAAAAAATCTCTAAATCTTTAGCCATTATTATATAATCTCAATAACATTCTTTTATATATATATATATATATATATATATATATATATATATATATATATATATATATATATAAATGAGTTATAGATATAAATACGTCTTATTGTGATCGTAATCTTTCAATAGTAAAATCAATAATATTTAATTCGCGAAACAACGTGTGAAATTAAATTCAATATTAATTAATAATAACTCGAATCGAAAAGTTTAATTTTCATAATATACGATTTTAAATTCCTAGAATTTGTTTGTTTTTTATGAAAGGGCTTCTTTTTCGATTTGAACGTGGTAAAGGTAGATATATGTAAACGGACCGAACCCCATATACCTTTCGTACATCACATCGTTTCAAATAGAAAGCTGAAGCCTCGTGATATACACCTCCATACATACACACGTACATATATACATACATACATACATACATACCATACATACATAGATACATATATATATGGATTATATCTACACACACGTTCGTAAACTTATTCGTACTTCCTGCGGTCGTATCACTTTCGTTCTCGTCCAATACCGCGTGTGTCCCGGATAAAGCCGGTTCCGTTCTATATTCTCATCATTTTTTATATTATCATCATTCAATATAACGATACGGGATAAAATTCTTTTCTATTCGAATTACGAATCGTTTCTGAAATGATTATGTGTATTTCTTTTTATATCTTTAACTCTTTCTGTTTCTCTCTCTCTCTCTCTCTCTCTCTCTCTTTCTTTTTACTCACTCTCTCTTTCTCTGTTTTTATTTTCTTTTCATACCTATAACGAAGAAGAGGAGAAAATATATTTCGAAAGGCGTAGCTCTCCTTTTACGATTCATAACCCGAATCTGGAAATACCAAGTCGAGTTTCACTTTTGCGTTGTGTAAAATGAATGCTTACAATCGATACGTTACGATCGCAAACAGTTCTTTTTTTCGTAACTGATAACGTAATTAAAGAGATTTTATTTGATATCTTATTTCTTTTTTTTTTTTTTTGGCTATCTATATATCTTCTCTTATCTTTTTTCTTTCCTATTTTTTTTTTGTTCTTTACGTTCATAGATTTCACGTTTGGCCAGCGTTGATAATTCACGTTATTTTACGTCAAGACAGTGTTGTTTTTTTCTGTTTGATATTATTTGTTTATCTCAAGAAAATCATTTGTTATTCCTTCATAAAAAAAAAAAAAAAAAAAAAAAAAGGAGAAAAACAATAACGTTGCTAATTACGTGTCTCATTTTTGCTATCATTGAAATATTGTGAGTATTAAAATTTATAGGTTTTACGTTTAATTACTGACATCTTCGTCTTACCTAAAATTGCGCTTTCTTTTTTATTGTCTATTATTTTTTTTCTTTTGTTTATTTATTTATTTATTTATTTATTTATTTTTTTTTTTTAAATAAAATTTATTTATTTTTTCTTTTTATACAAAGAACGTACTTAGTTACGATTTATTATCTACGATAAAATTAAGTAGCATGCCTCGAACGGCGAATGTGCTTGATACGAAGTTGGCCAATAACGTGTCTTGGAAAAGCTTTGGGAAAGAAAATAAATTGCCCTCTTTTCCTGTTTTTTTTTTTCTATTTTCTTTTCTTTTCCTTTTTCCTTTTTTTTTCTTTTTTCTTTTTTTAGAATCTCAACATATTCCGTAACATCGATCACGCATTTCGATATATCTTCTTTTACCACGAGAATGAGAATCCGATAGCACGAAGGAAAAGAATGAGAATATTAAGTTCCCGTGTCTCTTGCATTCTAAATAAATATTTTCCATGAAATCGATCATTCGATTCTTTTTTTTTTTTTTTTTTTTTTTCTTTTTTATTCGTCCAGAATATAATCCTATTAAAGAAACGAAAAAAGAAGAAAAGAGATTTCATCCTTTCTCACGTGATTTTTTCTATTTATCTATCCATTATATCTAATTCATCTACCATTTCTTTTTTTTTTTGTTAACAATTTTTTCCGATGTAATATAATAAAGAAAAAAACGTCAAACGAAATTTGCACGTGTATTTAATACGTTTATGTATTTTGTAGCGTAATATTTATTTCCAAAGGAGAACAATAGAATTTGATTTATAGAAGATTCAACGCGTATATAGTTTTAATCATCGATTGTTTGCACCCATGGGCGTTACGAATACAAATATAGAAAATTAAATTTCCCGATGCAAAGATTTAAAATCCAATTCGATTATATTCGATTTTTTCTATTGATATGCTTGTATGAATTTATTATGACAGCTCATCGTATAATCGATATAATCGATAATAATTTTAGAAATAAACATCATTATTATGGGTATGGATGAACAACAAGAATTCAGTTATGAGTGTGGTCTAAGCAAGGATACGCAAAAAATGGCGAAGGATGAACTTCGCGAGGATGATAAAATGAGAGAACAATCATTGGAACAATTCAGGCAATGGATTTTAAAACATCCATCAATCAAAACTTGCAGGATGGATCCGATCTTTCTCCTTAGATTTTTAAGAACGAAAAAGTTTAGTCTACCGATGGCACAGAAGATGCTCGAAAGATATCTCACTGTAAGACAATTATATCCCGAATGGTTTCAAAATCTTGACACCGACGATCCGGAAATAGAAGCCATTATAAACAGTGGCTATATCATACCTTTGCTAGAGCGAGACGCTCAAGGACGAAAAATCTTATTCATTTCCCCAGGTAAATAATTAATTTACGTTGACTTAAAATCGTTCAATCCGACGAAATCATGGTTTTTATCGATTTCTAATTATATACTGTGGTTCGTAAGTTATACATATCTTCTTTTTTAAATTTGTATATATATATATATATGTATGTATGTTTTCTATGCTAATAATATTTCTATACAAATATTATTAGTATTAATATATTTATAATTTGGTAATAATTAATTTATCAATCAATATTATTAATATTTAAAATGTGCATGTATATATATATATTAACAATATTGTATAACATATATATTTTACATTAATTATATGTATAATATATATAGGATTGTTACAAGAATCATTGGCAAATTGAAACAAATTTTTTTATATAATCCAGAAATAAAAGCTTGTTTCAAATGACAATAATTATTAACAGCCATTGTATATATTTCATATTAATTAAATATTTTTTGTTCAATTAATTTAAAAACGATGATTTCATCAAAATTAATATAAAATTCTCTTTTTATTCTTTTGTGAAGCTCTCTCTCTCTCTCTCTCTTTTTATTAAATTTATTAAAAATTATAATGTTTAAATATCAATACTGTATTTACGATTGTATAAAAATTATATAAAAATGATATATTTTACTATTTATAATCTATGTATACCGATAGTGTATATTTGTCAAAGGAAAAAAAAAAAAAAAAAGAAGAAAAAGAAAAAAGGAAAGAAACAACAAATGCACATAAACATCGTATGTAGAATTTTTGTTAAGGGACAAATACTAGAAGGATCTTTTCACGAAGGAGAGTACATAATAAACATGAAAAAGCGTAAAATATCCTAAATAACGAAGGCAATGAATATTTATTCATTCGTGCGTTGTGTAGAAAGAGAGGAATACCAATGAACTATTCGCATTTATTTTATCGTTGGTTCGTTAGAATTCATCTCGGATATCATCCTTTTTCTCTTGTTTTTTTTTTTTCTCTTTTAAAGAACGCTTTAACCCATACAAATACACGTTGGCCCAGATGGTACGCGTCCATAGTATCATCTTCGAAGCTCTCTTGGACGACGAGGAAAATCAAGTTCGCGGATATAACTACATAATAGATGAGTCCGGCTTAACTATGGGACATCTAAGCGTCTGGTCTTTCACCGATATCCGTAACATGCTATATTGCGCAGAGAATAGTTTGCCTGTGAGACACAAGGAAACTCATTTTATCAATATACCAACATATGCTTCCAAGATTATTGAATTTGCTATGTCTTGTCTCAAAGACAAATTCAGAAATCGTATTGTGGTAAGATAAAATCAATTGTTTGGATTATATATTTTTATTATTGTATATATATATATATATATATATATATATAAAAATATATATATATATATAAATATTAATGGATATGATTTTGTTAATGGATTGTTGAAATTAACAAAAAAGAAAAAAAAAGAAAAGGTTTACCGGGCTTGTAAAAACATCTTCGTTTTTTTTTTTTTTTTTTTTTTTAGATAATTACAATAAATTTAATTTATTTTTTTTTATCTTTCCATTGGATTTATCCGATTGTTTTATATCATGGCAAATGATTTGAATTGCATTAGATGAATTTTATTTTTATACGCACGATCTATGATCCTGAGAACGTTATGAGAAAATAAATTAATTTATAAAAATGATCTTCTATCTTATATAATTTATACTTGATATTTAATTTTCTTCATTCTTTGGAAAATAAATAGATCTATATTTGTTAGGACTTTTTTTTTCTTATCGTTAATTTATATGTTAAATTGATAATATGTACAATAGAATACGTTTGTGAATACTTTTTAACATCTAATGTATGCATAAAAAATAATTAAAAAAAAATTTTATTTTCATTATTATTTCAACAGATACATAAGAACATCGAGGAATTGAAAGAATTTCTAGATCCAAAGATCCTGCCAAAGGAATATGGAGGCGAAGTTCCTCTTACGGAGATGATCGGTATGTATTTTATTTTCCTTTTCTCTTTTTTTTTTTTTTGTAATTCTTATTTACAAATATCGAATAGAGTTAAATCATTTTGTTCTATTTGTTTCTTTATCGATAGACACTATTAAAAAGATCTTAAAAGAGAAAAAGGAACAAATAAAGGCTCTCGACAAAATGCACATTGAAATTTCGCCAAATGAATATCAGGCCGCATACGATGAAGAATTTAGTGGTATTTTTGGTTCCTTTCGTAAGTTAGAAGTGGATTAAGATCCCCCCTCCCCCTCCATCCATCCATTGGTATTCCAATATTAATTCATTGATTTTCTTTTTTTGTTTTTGTTTCTTTTTTTTTTCCATTGTTTAAACCGTATCAATGTATATTTGTTAGAGCATCGTTACGGTTAAAAATGTTTTTAATTGTTCTCGTTCATATTTATTTATAGTTACGTTTTCATATTTTATATGAAATTTAAATTTTGTATAGACATCATCGTTTTCTTTTATTCTAATGTTATCTTCTTTTTTTTTTCTATATATAACAGCGTTATAAAGGTCAAGTTATATTTAATATCTTTCGATTTACTTTTAATATATCTATGTTTCTTTCGCGTAATATACTAAATTTATATATATATATATATGAGATATATAAAAATAATACACCGAATCAATCATGATATAATCTTTAGAAGTCCTTGACTTTTATAAAAATTTATCTTATAGTAAACATATTATTTAAAGTCGAAATAATGAGATTTATAGTACATACATATACATACATACCGCATAATCTTTATTACTATGTTCGAATATTCTCCGCTGGTGGTTCAAGTTACCTTTCTTTCTTATTATAAATATATATTTCGACCGAATTTAATTAAAGTCGATTAATAACAAGATATTATCGTATTGTACGTAAGTACATACAGTTTCGAATCTTTTTTTTTTTTTTTTTTTTAAGTTACATTTGAATATACTACAAAATAACGGGTTTATTAAAATAGATTTTAAGCGTTGTTAAGATCTTTGAATTCAACTTATGTGTGCGTGTGTATCATGTATGTAATTAGTTAAAATATACATACATATTTACACTTAATCACATACATAAATATATATATATATATATATATATATATATATATATACACATACACACACACACACACACATATACAGATGCACTAATAAATATTTCTGTTTTATGATTTAATTATGTTTGTCTTTGTTTTGAATTTGTGCATAAAGTAATGTTAATAAAACAATTTATTTTGAAATAAATAAAAAAAAAAAAAATAAAATAAAATAAAATAAAATAAATAAATAAAAAAATAAGGAACTCATGTAATAATATAATGAATACTTATTTGTTACACGTTAAAAAAAGATAATACGTTTATAACGAATAAAAAATGGAAGTTCCTAGCACTCGAGTTCCATAATGAAAACTTCAATAATTGCTGCTTTTATAAATTAAAATATTATATATCATAGGTTGTCGTGTTATGTACAATGATAAATATTATTAAACATTGTGATATAACACTATCCTTTTATCCATATATTTCATAGAGAAACTAAGAAACAAAAATAAGTAATGTGAAATTGAAACATACATTTATTAGAATTCTGTGTTGATGTTGCTCATAATTTCCTTCAAAAATTCCATGCTTGCTGGAGCTGTTGTATATAAGCTACCTGAAATGTAAAGCGTTACAATATATAATATAACATTGTTAATATTAAAAGTCAATTTAATTTTTATATATAATGTACTTAAGTATAAATATATAATATTTTTTTAATAAAAATAAATATCCATACCTATAAAGTTTGATACGTTATTATCATAAGTAATAATTTTGCAATTATTTTTATCTTTTATTTTAAAACCTAAACATCTAAACCGTTCATCGGTTGTGTAAAGAGTATTTGTTTTCAAAGAACTAAAATAAGGTTGTCCACTAAATGGATTAATGAAATCTGCCCAATATCCAATCATTTTTAATCTCGTACAAATATCTGATGCGGCTAATACAAACTATAATAAAATATATTAATAAGAAATGATTATTTGTAATCCTTATAAAAATTTCTAACATTCTAATTTGATGAGACAATTGAATCATTAAAAAAAAAATAAAAAAAAAAGTATTAATACTTACATATTTTGCCAATTTCTCAGTTTCAGTTATTTTACTCCATCTTAATGTTTTAAAATCAGATTTTTGACTTATAGTCACAATAGTTAATTGTGCAGCGCTTACATCTAAACAACCAGAAAACAACTCTTCGATGCCCTTCCTTAATAGAAGCGGACATTCTTGGGCAGTACAATGTAACAATGGTCGTTTCATATAAGATTTCTTTTTTAATCTTTTATAATTTTTCTTTACATTAACGGTATTAGCATCTTTCTTTACATTAACGTTATTAGAATCTTTCTGGGTAATGGTAATGAATTCTGTTTTGATATGAGTAGTAGTAGATGAATTTACCCAACCAGGACCTATGCTACCTGGTAAATAAAATCTAAATCCTCTTGGTGTCAACAATTCCCAATTGTTGTTGGTTTCAAATTCACCATTATCAGTTGCTATAAATAATATACGTTTAAAAATTCATAATGAAATAATTATTGATTAAAGGAATTGAATTTTATCTAATGATAAAATATTATTATGAAATTAATAATACCATCTATGGATTCTCCATTTGCATTGATGATTTTATACAACGTTGTATTATTGTCGCTGCTCCGTCGAGAATAGAAAGCTTGATAGGCAACATTAAAAGATTTTAGGTTATTCTTTCTTCCCACGTATTTTACACAAAACATCTGAAACGTATGACAACGTGTTATAAGTTTATACTTTTGCAAGGTCAACTATTTTTAGAATATGTTGAATAATTATTTTTCGAATGTTTTCTTTTTCCTTTTTTCTTTCTTTTTTTTTTTTTTTCTTTTTTTCCTTCTTTTTAACACAAATACACACACGTAAACACAGAACTTATGTATTTGTCACAATTAATATTTGATTACCATTGAAAAGCAATTTACATACTGGACGAAAAATTCGTTATTCAAAAACAATATGCGCACAGAAAGTTATCTCCTTTCTCTTCTCGTCGAACTTCGTTTAATTTGTTATGTATATCATATAACTTTGTCAATGAACTTAACTTAGTGTTGCCAAATACGAAAATCTATAATTTTCAAGAGTCTAAGTTGGTAACCCTGTTATATCTACGTTTAAAGAATGCTGATTCATTCTTTCGATTCAACGAATCACAAGCCTGGAATATTTATTGATTCTATAATAGGTGAATTTCTATTGGTTAACATTATAATTGTAACGACCAATGTTAATTCACATTTTAATTTTCATGTTCTTTAAAAGTTTCAAATCTAAAGCCATCAATATATTGGATAATTATTTTAATCGACGTTTGTTTTAAGAATGTAAATTATATTTTACTTACCAAATTTCAATAATTTCTTCGTGATCCTGTCTCTTTATGAAAAATTTTTCTAAAACGTTTCTAAAATGGTGGATACGAGGTACGAAAGAATCGCGTAAGTATTTACAATGTTCGTTAAATGCGTCTAGCCTAAAAAAAGAGAAAAAAAAAGAAAAGAAGAGAAAAAGAAAATTTTGTCATAATTAATTTTGAGATTAATTTAATATTTTTTCCTTTTTCTTTTTTTTTTTTCTTTTTTTTTTCTTTTTTGATAAAATTCTCATTTGAATAATAATAAAGTAAATCGTAATAATAGGAGAGTAAAATTTAACTGACGTTTTATTTCGCTTATTATACATATTATCTTCTGTTTTACACGATTCCTTTGAAATATTTATTTATTAATAATCCGCTATCGACAATATTATCCGCAAGAAGCTTAACAATGATAATGTAATAATGGCAAAAAGAAAGGAAAAAGAATAGAAAAAGAGAAAGAAAAAGAAAAAAAAAAGGGAAATGGCATTCGCACGACAAAATTTTATTTTATTTTTATTATGTATATCGTATTGCAGGGTGCATTGGCGCTTTTGAAGAGATATCTAAATATTAATGTATTCATTTAAGTGGGAGAAAAACGACGAGTCTTACGTGAATTTACCGAAGATCCAATAAAATGAATTTCTTTTTCGGATGAACGACGTTTCGATTAGTATCTTTATCAGGATGACACATAATTGCAAAATCGAATGAAATCGCCTTTTTAACGATTAAATGACAAAAATTCTTTCTTAAATGGAAATTTGATTCACTATACAGCGAATATACGAGATATCGTGCGCCGATATCTTTCCATCATTCGACGAATCACGATACTCGTACGAATTAACGTACTTAGTTACTTTTACTTTTACCTTTTTTCTAAATGTATAAATCTTTAAACGAGAAATGACTATAAGTCGTTTATCGTTTAAACGACAATATGTCTCTCTTCTTTGTTCTTTGCTGATTCTTCTTCTTTCTTTTTTTTCTTCTTCCTCTTCTTCTTCTCCTTCCTCCTCTTCTTCTTCTCGTTCTTCTTCTTCTTCTTCTTCATCTTCTTATGAAAGTTATTCATGTTTTTCTTATTCAAGCCCATCGATTATATGCGTTCGATATTAAGAACGATACATCTTATCGGTATAACGAAATATCGCGCAACGCAATCAAAAAAAAAAAAAAGAAAAAAAAAATCATATTCACATATTCTGTTCGATCGAAATTTTCCTTCGATCATCGGTTATCTTTTTGCTATTTTCTTTTTTTTTTTTTTTTTTCTTTTCTTTCCTTTCCTTTTCTTTTCTTTTCTCAAAAATGGCTACCACCTAAACCTTTTTTTTTTTATCGTATAGCGCACTTTATCGTCGGTAGCGTACAACGAGATTATATCTATATATATATATATTTTTTTTTTTCTTTTTTCTTTTCTTTTTTTTTTCTTTTTTTTTCCTTTATCTTCGTTATATTCGAAATATTGGTACAAATACATTTACGGAAAGGGATGAGAAAAAAATCAATCTTGATTTAAATGATATTACCCCCACGTTATTACAATATACAGATATTATAATAATAACATCGATTTTAAGAAATTGCCTAATCGCTAGGCTATGGTCCTCATATATCCGTTTTTTCATTTTTCTTTTTTTTTTTTTTTTTTTTTTTGTATATATGTATGTGTATGTATGTTTCGTGTATATATTATACGTTTGTGTTTTATACACAAATACATCTGTGTGTGTGTGTGTGTGTCTGTGTGTGTGTATGTGTGTATATATATATATATATATATATATATGTATGTGTATGTATGCGCGTGTCTCACGTTTTCGTCATGTAATCTGACGTATTGCGCTTCTGAAAATTTTCTAAAGCACTTAATCTATTTTTTTTTTGTTTTTTATTTTTTCTTTTCTTTTTTTTTTTTTTTTTCCTTTTCTTTTCTTTTTCTTTTTCTTTATTTATCTTTTATTGTATCTTTTTTTTTTTTTTTATTTTTTTTTTATTTTTTATCTCTTTAAATATGCGACAAACGTATTTCAACGTTAAATTACAACTTATGTTTCTCTAAGATAAAACCGACATTGAATGTACACATATATTCACTTATATATGTACATGTCATATCGTATTAAATATATATGTATACATATATACATATGTATATATATATATATATATATATATATATATATATATACATATATATATATATATATGTTATAAATTTAAGGTATTAAACCTTTCGCTTATTGTATTAATTATTTTAATTAACAAACGTGCGTTTTTCTTGGAACAAAACCCGATTAGCGATCACGTATACGTATAATTCGCACACTTTCCTAGGTGGACGGAAAATCAATGAACAGTATCTTTAGAAAATCTTTACTTATTCTCTCTCTCTCTCTCTCTCTCTCTCTCTTTCTCTCTCTCTCTCTCTCTCTCTCTCTCTGTCTCTCTGTCTTAATTAATAAAAATCCATCGATCTTTCGCTTCGAAAAGATTGATTAATCTTTTCATTATCACTCCCGTTCTTCTCTCGTCTTACATCATTAATATATTATATCTTTTTCTCGAAAATGAAGTTCTCGAGTCTTCGTACAAAGATCCAGAAGGAACATAAACTCGAGACGGCCAATTAAAATGGCCTGGACCTATCGTTTTTCGTTTTTATTTTCTACTTTTCTTTTCCTTTTCCTTTTCCATTCCTTTCTTTTTTCTTTTTTTTTTTTTTTTTTTTTCTTTCACCTCGCGATATTGTAAATTATATGGCAAAAAAGAAAAATGGAAGAAAGAGAAAAACAAAAAAAAAAGAGAGAAAAAAAAAAAAGAAAAAAGTCGAGAGATATTCGCGGGTCACGCGAATATCTGAACAAAAATAACTACTGACGCGAGTGTTAACGTTATTCTCTTTCATTTCAATTCAGTGGCTTTCAAATCTATTTTTTCAATGAGAGAACATTACGTGATCCTTATATCGTTATAACAAAAATAATATCGGGAGGTTTAGAATTGTCTTCTTGAAAGGACACCGACCGAATAGAATCTTTTTTAATATCAATTGCTTTATATATGACGTTTTAATAAAATTACAATTTTGTTTTTTTTTCTTTATTTTTGTTTTCTTTCATTTTTTTGATTATTTTTTTTTTGTTTTCTTCTGGTTTTTTTTTGTTTCTCTCCCCCCCCTTCCCCCATTGAAACAATCAACGATTTTTCATTTTGTCAACGAACTCGTTTCATCGACGAACGGTTACGTAAAAATAATTGAGAAATAAAAGTAATGGGAATAAAAGTGAAATAATAGAAAATAAAACCTAACGTATGATGTAAATAAATTTGTCGAATTTTTTTTTTTTTTTTTTTTTTTCTTTCTAAAAAATAAATAGACAAATATTAATGCGTGTGTTCATTACGTTGGGAGTACATACATACGTGAAGCTTTTCGAGAAAATATTTCGTAATAATTTTGGGATTGGAGGTGAACGTTAGAGTTTGAAAACCACTATCTTTGTAGTGTCAACGAGGTCGTCGAAGAAGCGAAAGCAGGAGGACAGCTTTTAGACTGCGTCCCGCCGGAGGCTGGACTTTAATCGACGTCACGAACAAAGTAGACTAAACTAATCGCAATCTATCTTTGCTCTATTCATGTTCATTAGTCGTAAAAAAAGATATATTAATAATAATAATAATAATAATAATAATAATAATAATAATAATAATAATAATAATAATAATAATAAAAATAATAATAATAATAATAAAAATAATAAAAAGAAAAAGAAAAAGAAAATAAAAATAAAAATAAAAATTAAAAAAAAAAAGTATAAAATAAAATAAAATAAAAAAGGCAAGAAGAGAAGCTTATGGATCTCCGACGTCGAAAAATAAACTCGTCCTTTTCTTTCATTCGTTCTACCTGTTTGTTCCCTTTTGTTTTTCTTTTTTTCTTGTTCCTCTTTCGTTCGTTTGTTTTGTCCTTTCTTCTTCTTTCTTTCCTTTTCTTTCCTTTTTTTTTCTTTTTTTTCTTTTTTTCTTTCTTTCCCGTTCGTTACCGCGTGTTCCCTTACTATTATAACTATTATAGACACGTCCAACAGGATAAAACAACAAATTGGAGGATCCGCTGATCGGGTTTTCGCATAAAACGACGCTCTTCTTGGTGTACTTCAATGATGGGAGCAAACGGAATTAAAACTATTACAATTCTTTCTCCCATCATAATATATTTTTAAATATAGTCTCGCAGCAAAAAGGGGGAAAAAAAAAAAAGTGGCTTTCTCTCGTTTAGCCTTTAATTAAATTTTATATCAGTCACACACCGCGTTTCGGACTCGAGTTAATTAATTAATTAATTCGTGCTTTAGCATTGATCGAAGCCCCGCGCAGGAAGACTCAAAAATGTTTATATCTATATACAAATACTCTTTCTGTCTCTCTCTCTCTCTCTCTCTCTCTCTCTCTCTCTCTCTATTTCTTTCTCTCTTTCTCTCTTTCTCTTTCTTTCTATCTTTTTCACACACGCATACACATACACGCACGCACGCACGCATACAGATACAGTACAATTATGAATTTTAAACGAGACCTTTTACAATATTGGAAATACACATACTCTACTCTTCTCTTTCTTTTCATATCATTTGATAATTTTCTATTTGTCAAGATAACATAGGTACGATCGATCGAGGATAAGACACTCT